ACATGAACTTAAAATGTCACCAGTCTTTATCGTTGTGTGATATTCTCCAGCAGCATTCAGCAGCTCAGCTGAGAAACCAAATGTAATAGAAATTTGTTGACTTCTGACCACCCAATATTCATAGACCATGATTTTAATCATTGTATCCCAACTTCTCTCTAGAGAACCACCCACTCCTTCCTCGCTTTTAGCCCATACACTTCCGGGCTGTCCAGAGCATAGCATGTTCCCTGGGCCCAAGCCAGACTATTCAGTTTTCTGTCACTTACAATGGAAAGAGTCCTCAATGAATTTTTTTTTAAATGGAACTGGAAGTAACATAGTGCAAGTAATAGAAAAAAAAAAGATGGAAGAGGCAAAGTTCCAGTAGAAAGAAGACTTTTCATCTTGGGCAGGAAAGATGATATTCCCTGACGAAAAGTACTAAAATATTTAACCTTGTATCTTGGGACTCAGACCATGTGCCTCTTGAATCTTCCCAATGAAAGACTTGATAAGAAAATAGTTAAGAGTTCAAAGATTGTTATTTATTGTAGCTTTCTGTAAGGTCCTACAATGAAAAGATTTGATTAGGCTGAAATTGGCCTGTCTGAAAGCAGAAAGGAAAAAAAAATTATGAATATGCCGACGGAAGCCATTTCTGCCTGTGACCTGCAATCTGAGTTGGCTAAAAATCCAATGAAACGAAACTAGGGGTGGGAAAAGATGGAATGCTTGGCTGTCAGTTAAGGCTCATGCAGGAAGGAGTCATTCCAAGAGACAAAATTGGGATATGTTCCCACTCAGCTATCTGCTGTCACCCACTCTAGCAGTGACTGACAAAGGGAACAACTAAGCTAATTGCAAAGAAGCTGGGATGGAGCCTAGCAGCGAGAGAAAAATGACTAGTGACTCGTACCACAGCTATTGTTTAATGCTATCACTAGGCAGAGACCAACATGAAGGCCATTTAGTTGAGAGTCAAGTGCATAAGCCAACATCTGAGACTAAGGCAAGGCCAGCTGCTGAGAGACTGAAATTCCCAAGCCCAGTTTCATATTTCAAAAACTATGCCTTGACACGATGTCTGACTCTGGGTTGCCAGCCCATGGACTCCAGGGAGTGAGAGGGAGTCTCACTAAGATGTAAAGGAAGTTGCTTTGCTTGAACTCTAAATCAACTCCTAGGACGCTGAACCTTTCCTAACCCAAAGCAGAATGCTCCAAGATGGTAGTGATAGACAGCTCATTCTCCCCAACACCCATCTAATAGATAGTCATGGAAAGTAATGGACGAGAGACTGTTTTCTGATCTCTCCTGGAAAACAGACTAGGGACCAAACTGTGTATTAAATACTCGGATTCAGTAGGTCTTGGCAGAGCTCTGTACTTTTAATAAGCTAAATGGGCTTAACCCATGTACACACAAATATTTGGGATATAGTATTTTAGGGGCAAAAGAATCTGAGCTAAAGGCAACTTAGGGCACTGACCTTCACTGAGGGTTTGTGCTATCTGTTCAATTGGTCTCTTCTGCCCATCTCCAGTTCCTGAGGCCCAGGAAGCCCCAGCAGGACAACTGCAGATTAAGGTTTAGGTGATCTGCAGCAATCTGGGGGAAATCTCGGACCAGGTGAAGTATTTTCCGAAGGAAGCCTACAGCCATGATTCTAGGGGCATAATGTGAATTATCACCAAGGAGACACAACAGGAACTTACAGCCAAGCATCAGATCCTAAAAGTACAGTGAATTCAGAAATGGAAGAATTGAGAAATGTGATCAGAAGGTAGGAAAATCTTACTCATGAGCTATCACACATGTGAGGGTCACAGACAGATGAGGCTCTGCTTTCATGGGGAATGGCTGTGTCATGTGGTTGACCTCCAGCACCAGGGATTCCACGTGATCTTCCACCCAGACATTCATGGGTCATGACTGTCCCCCAGTGTCCACCCATCAGTGGGAATCAGTGGTGTTTACACAGACTTGCACAAAGTTGGGGCAGCCCAGCAGCTGGGCCTATGCAGCAGGATCCAGAAAACAGGGTATTTTCTAGCTACCACTCTGTGGGTTTGTGCCCACTCCATCTCAGTCCCATGAGCACCCAGAGTCCACTGGTTTATAAAAATAAACAAAACAGGGAAAAAGAAAGAAGAGAATAACGAGCTAGAGGAGGAGAGAAAAGAAAAACCAGCAGCTGCACTTACTAGAGCAGGATGCATACTTCCCATCACTGAGTAAAGGGTACCCCGAATAAGCAGAGGGGAATGTCTACAGAAGTAGCTGGTTTCTCTGAGGTACAACTGTAAACATACCCACTGGCTGCACTTTCATGCTTCCTCCACTCACAGAGCCCATCTCCAGTCCTCAGCCAATGAGATTACACAGCTGGCTTGCCCACTGACTTTCCATGCATAGACAACTGACTTTGTGGCCTAGACTAATAAGTCATGTAAGTGTCCAGAAAGCCTTCCTGACACACTCAGGTTTTCCTCGCTCTCGAATAAGATGTACACCCACAACCAGAACTCCTATACACGGCAACACATTGTCTGATGCCCCCAGAGAGGTGACAGATGATGGAGGCATTAGCTGCCAGGTCAGATGACCTGACATGGCCTGAAATACTTCCAGAAATCCTGCACAGTGCTTCAGGAGTCTGGCTGGTCATGAGTGTGGGATCGCTCATCTGTTTGTCTCTCTTCTCAGCCGTGATATCCAGACTGTCGCTCTTTCTGACTCACCCAGGAATTTCACAGTCTAGGATACAGAGTTCATCAACAGCATAAGGAAACTGAGGTGCTGGACTGTGTCAAAGACAAGCTGGCCGCATGTGGGGTAGTTCTCCTGGGCCACCACCAGTGAGGGGAGCTCAAGGTCTCACGTAGTTTCTCCTCTTTGGGATACTCTGGCCAGAAACAAAGAGGTTGCTGCTGGTTCTACTGTGGCAGAAAACGCTATGTTTTCACCAAAAGTCATTTCTTCTTCAGCAGGGGTGCACAACTAGACCCCATTTCTTAGTCTCTACTGCAGGAAGGTGTACCTATGTGGGTGAACTCTATCCAATGGAATATGGAAGAGAAGTGATGAATGGCACCTCCAGGCTTGGCCCATAAAAATCAGACATGGTGACCACTAGAAAGGCAGGCAGGATTTGACCATGGGGAGGAGGTCAGGCTGGTGAAGTTCCTACTCAGACCTTTAACCCAAATACAGATACCTTCTTCCTCAGGAATGTTAGCTTGGCCAAGAGATCATGGAATGCCTAGGGGCCTGTGGCTCTTGTCACGGGCTCCTGATGTCTCAGAAGCAGGGTTTCATGGGCATTTGCCCTCTTCGGCAGCCTGGGTGCTCATCTGGGTGCTTCCTCTTCCCAGGAAAAACCCCAACACCAAGAGTTACTGTTTGTTTACTGTTTGAATTATTTAGATCTCAAAAGTCTTCCATTAGCCCTGGCCTCCAGGAGCTGTGTGTCTGCCTGGCCTGCCTGGATTTCTGCCCTATATTAGGAGGTTCTCTGAGGATATAAGGGCCAATAATGCTTCATAAGGATCTTTGGGTTTCTGTGCTTCTTGTTTGCAGATGAGAAACACATGCCTTCAAACCATAATAAGGATATTCACCTTGTGGGGTGGCATCTACACAAATGATCAGTACTGAGAAATGAACCTAGTATACACCAAAAGGAAGATGTGATGAAAAATGTAGACAGATCACCACAGCTTAGGGCCAGAAGATCATAGAAGAGTTGAGGACAAGCCAATGGTAAGACCAGAGCCAACAGGGTGAATCATGAAGTCCAAAATTGGTTGAGAAGGACAATCAGATTCTAAAGGAAAATCCTTCATAAGCGAAAGGAAGACAAGGTGAAGGAAACAAGAAAGCATAGGTAAGAGGTTGAATAGATGCTGTTACAACGTGAAAAAAAAGCCTAAGTTTTGGTGTTCACGCAGATGTGGGACTAAATTCTCCTCTCTCTACTTCCTAAGTCCTGTGGCCTCTTGGAATTCGTTTAACTACTGAGAACCTTGAAGGATTTGAATATCTACATCCTGGAAGTATTATAAGATTAGAGATTATATGTTTATACAGTTATAGTACTTGCGTCGTTTAGCAGGATAAAGGGTGGATACCAGTGATACACTACTTGGTTGTGGACTTTCTATAGGCTTTAAACAGCAACAAGTCTTAGCCAGGAGCCAATGACTGGAATCATTATAACACTTACTTTGCTTCAGCCAACAAAGAATTTTTATTTAGTACTTAAATCTTTCAGTATCCATTCATTGATCAGAGTAAGTAAACTCCTTTTATATACGAAAGGCTGAGCCAGCTGCCAAAAACACAGTATTACCCATGCATGTGCCATAATGTTACCTGTTTTTATGTGGCTATGCATGTTTGTTTCAAACTGCTAGTGCTTTAAGATATGTTACTAAATATAAGTTTTCCTCACTTCTACACAACACTGCTCTGATTTGGCTGCCTTTTTTGTTCCCCTGAATTTTCATTTTTATTGAACCCACCCTTTGTTCTGGCACCATGTTAATATACCTTTTGGTCTATTTATACATGTCACATCTTGGACTGACTTTTTATTCCGACTTTCTTTCTGGCAAAGACAACGAGAACAGTGAGCATACTTAATAAATGTTACATAATAATAACTATTAAATGTTCCTTTAAAATCTCAAGCAGCTTTTTATCTTTAGCTTCTACTTTGAGATAATTACATACTTCCCCAAAGCTATTTATAGCTCCCATCAGGAAGAACAGCTGAAAAAAAAAAAAAAGTGTTCCTAGTCCTGCCAAAACTATGGTGAAAGTGATTTAAACTCTGAATTTCTGTTGCAAGTGTTCAAATGGCATTCAACATACGGATGTCTAATTCTAGCAACAGAAAACTTTTCCCAACCAAAATCTCCCTGATGGAGGTGGTTATTGAATACATCTTGTCATTATCACCATCATCATTCGTTTACCAACAAACTGAGATTACCCAAAACAGTTACAAAACACACCTTTTACTTCTGTTATCAGTCCATCTGTATCTGCTCGTCAATGCACCATGAGTCATGTCCTCCTCCACCCTTTAAAGCCTGAACCCCAGCACATTTAGTTAAGATCATAGACGTAGTCACAGATCAGCTTCACAAATATGAGGAAGAGAGGACCTCTTCCATGTCGTGACTTGCACATCATAGGGTCAGAAAATTAGATACATATGTGCATGACTCTCAGGGTTGCCAGGTTTAGCAGATAAAAATTTAGCAGCCCTATCCACTCCACACACTCGTCTCCCAAACTTCCCTAAATGCAGTAGCAGAAACCCTCTGATTACTTTCTCCCCTAAGTCAAGGACGCAGGTTTATATAGTGGGCAGGTCACTGGGCTGGAGACCGAAGCCCTGCGTGCTGATCTTAGCCCTTGCTACTCAGAACCTGCTTGGTTTGAGCAGTCCAGGATAATTTTAGACACCAAGATTCTACTATCAAAAGGTCCATTACCAGATTTTTGAGAACCAGCCCTCTCCGAGCCACCAGGCTGGGTGCTGGAGAAAAAGTAAACAAGCACAGTGCCCGGTCCTCGGGGAGCTTAGTGCCTAGTGGGAAAGAAACGTGAGAACTCCAGGGGGAAAGGTAGGGCTAGAAATCAAGACATCAAGACTGAGCTGATGTCTGGGTGTTTCTTGGTGTTGGATTTTTTTTTTTTTGGTTGTCATCGTGTCTCTGTCAGATTACATTTCTCTATTTCCCATCAGTGTCATCTTGTTATGCTGTAAATTTGTTTTCATGAGAAGCCTTTTGCCCTGGAGAGAGAGCTAATAGAACCTGTTGCTTGGCAATGGTAGCCTTCACACAGATGAACATAAAATATTGTGAGTTAATCATAGCATTTGAGACTATAAATACCTTTGGGGAAGTCATCCAAGAAAACTCCATCTTTCTTCCCGTCAGAGAGAAACGTCTTCTGTGCATTTGCAGCTACTTTGTTCATCAGACGAATCCTAGAAGAGGAGGTGAGAGCAGAAAGACATTCCCTGGGTACTGACAGTTTTCCCGAGGAGTCCCTGGCATCCCTGAAGAAAAAGCTCTTCCAGCCTAAGTCCAGAAAAGCCGAAGTGACAGCAACAGCAATACTCACCAGACAAGCTGTGGGTATGGAGACCCAGCTCAGATGCCCTCGGAGGTTTATGTCCAGGCTGCAGACAACAGACCGCCTGCCTCCACACTGGGGAGCAGCTGCTCCTGGCCTCCTCACACTGACCTGCCTGTGTCCCTTTGTCCACAAGCTCAGTTGGTTTTTTTAGTGGTAAAGTTTGGGTGATGAACTTAAAATAGAAAGAAAACCTGTTATTTCCTTAAAAATGTAAACATTCTATTATTCTTCTTTCAACTAATGAAAATGCACCTATTCAACTCTGCTTACTTGATTACTGGTTTTTCCAAATCTCACAACCTCACTTCACAGCCTTTTGCTCTCTGACAGTAAAGTACCACCGACTGGAAGTGAAATGGTGAAGAGCTCTCAAGCTGAGAGCTGTCGAGCTGAGTTTGAATCCCAGATCTACCTCCTAACTGCTGCGAGAAGTTGGGAACGTCTTTTAATTGTTCTAAAACTGTTTCTTCATCTGCTTATTAGGGAATACAGCTGATCCTTGAACGGCGCGGGGCTTGGGGCGTCCAGCCTGCAGGAGGTGGCAAATCTATGTAGAATCTACAGCCAGCTCTCCGCCTCTCTGGGTGGCGGTCCTGCTGGCTGCAGGGTTCTGCCCCGGGCTTCAACCAACCACAGGTCCTGTAGCTTTGCAGTATTTACTATTCAAAAATTTCACATTTCAGTGGACCTGTTCAAAACCTTGTTGTTCAAGGGTCAGCTGTAATGCATTAGAAAACTTCTTAACCGAGGTACTGTCACGGAACACAGGTCAATAAGATAAATTACACAACTAAATTTTTTCATCATTTGCAAGAATATATAACAAACTATAGTTACAGAGTTTTGGGGGGGGTTATTTTTGTACAAATGATTTGATCAACTAAACAATTCAAATTACTATAGTAATCATGAATTAATCAGTATCTTAAAACACTGCCATTTCAGGTCAGCTAAAGGAGTCCCGGTTGGTGACACAGCAGGAGTGACAAACTGGCAGGAAGCCCTCAGGACTCCTGATTTCACCACCACCACTGCCCTGGTCTTGGCTACTATAAACCCCAGCACTTCAGACAAATTGGGTACATAACTGAACCCCAACTGTGCACCAGGGTGAAACTTTTTCCAAAAGGTGTTGTGGGATCTATGCAGTCTAAGGGAAGCAGGTATGGAAGTGTTCCCCCAAATTTCTGCCAGTCAGCAAGGTCCTGAAGGTTCTGTGACATCTCTGATGGTGTACCCAAGGCCCCCAGGGCCCAGTCAGCTTGAGAGTCTCAATTCTGATTTAGCCAAATGTAGTTAATGATGTAAAATCAACAACAAACCAGCCGAGGTTTTGTTCTGATGCCCACAACTTTGCGTATGGGTTCTTCTGCTATGAGTATTTATCTCATGCATAGAGAGAGAGTAAACATCTAGTATGATGTTTAGTAAGCTTGTCTCACTAGAAACTCAGCTCTGTTATCAGGGAATAAGATGGGCAAGGTGGTTTAGAGAAATAAAACTTTGGCATTAGGCCTGGAATTGAATCCAAGCTATTGCCTGAAACGGTTACTTAATCTCTTGGGAACATAGTTTCCTCAACTGGAAAAAAGAGGAAAATACTGTAGATTAAAACAAAGTATATTTTGACTACAATAAGTAGCCCCAAAATGGCACCCATCATTATTACTATTAGCGTATTTTTATGCTGAGTTAGTACTGTTTAAATTATACAAGCTTTAAAATTTCTAAGAAAGGCATCATCCTTGGCAAGTGTCACAAAGAATTAAAGCTTACACAGAAAGGAAGTTAATTTACATAATCATCTGATCAATTGATTACTCCCTTTGGAGAAGTTTCAGAATAGTGAAATCCAGAGATAAATATTGTGCCGTGATTATGTCAATTTGAATATAATGCAGTCAGAAAATGTCTCCCAGCCTCTTCAACAAACTTGTCTTGGTTATTACATTAATCTCCACATTGAGACTGATGTGACTGAGCTTTTTCTACCACCACCATGGCATCATAGAAAGGTGTTGTTATATTTTTAGGTGTTGCTGTGAAGGTATTTTGTAGCTGTGATTAACGTCTGTAATCGGTCCACATTAACTAGGGGAGATTATCCTAGATAATCCGGGTGGGTCTGATTCAACCACTTGAAAGGCCAAAAGCAGAACTGAGGGACTTCTGAGGAAGAAGAAATTCCACCTGCGGACTGCAGCTTTAGTTTGTGCCTGTGATTTCCAGCCTGTCCTACATGACAACCTGTCCTTTGAATTTCAGATTTGCCTTCCCAGCACCACAATCATGTAAGCCAGTTCTTGCAATAATTCTCTTAATAAACATCTGCTACTAGTTCTGCTTCCCTGGGTTAAATGCTGGCTGATACAGCCATGAATTTTTTTTCTTTTCCATTAAATTAATTGATTGCACCTTGATGTTAGACATGTCTCCTAAAGGTTCTCTTTATTATGAATGGGTTGAGTGGGGCTAATTATTTTCATGGTAGGAATGAAAATGCTTTTATTTCGACATGTTCCTCTATTTTGCTGGATCTTTCTTACCTTTCCATTTCAGGAGGAACTATCAGATGTAGATCGAATGACAACCTTCTTTTGTAAACCAACCTTCCTTTGGAACTTAAAAATAAGAAATATATTTAGCTATTGCATATGAGTGAAAAAAAAGACAAAATAAAACCCTCAGGTCTAAATGACAAAACTTAAAACTCATATACAAATAAATGATATTTCCTCAAGATTTAAAAGTAGGTTTTAGAAAGGCCTTAGATTTTAGAAAAGGAAGTGCAGGATGAAACTGTTTCATCAAAATAGAAGCAAACATTGTCATTGCTTTGCTAGTGACAATCCAGTTTCAAATGACTTAGCAGGAAAAGTTTTATAACTCTTCTAAGGCAGAATTTCTTAAAACTGTCTCTTAATACCAATGATCTTTTGCCAAGTTTCATTTCACCCTTAATTACTCTGAGAACTTCTAAAACTAGAATATAGTTATACACACACAGGCTTTGAGAGCTAATTTGAAAGTAAAAATTCAAAGGAGGCAAGATTTGAAACTAAACTCAGATTTTAATTTAACAGAAAGTATTATTGATGACAAATTTTTCTAAGATAAATGAAGTAGTCCTTTAAAAAAAAAAACTCAACTTTTAGAAATGGTAAACTTTTATTCATCTTCTTATTGGGAGCTCTTTTCCTGGTTGTAATAAGAATATACACAAATAATCATAACTTTTGATTTCTTAATATTACAACCAACCCAAAATTCAAAGTGTTTTTTTCATATAGGTCGGTACTATTGTAAAATAAATTAATTTTAATTACAAAGGACTAGTACCAATATATACCTAAGAAATGTATCACCATTTACCTGTAATAACAAACATGTGCTTTGATGTCTTCATTTATTATTATAAAAATTGAGTTTTCAATGAAGACTATGGTTGTGAAAATAAATTGGAATTAAGCAGTTCTTTAAACTTAAACTAAAAATCATGGAAGAATAAAAATGTCAAGCCAGTGAACACTTTTTTTTCCTGTGATCTATACATAAATATTTTCATGTAAACAAAAGCAAAGATCAAGAAAAAATTAAGTTAAATATCCTTGTCAGCAACCGAAATGTGTAGATTAAAATGGTTATTTTATTTTCTTCATGCTTCCATTGAACAGGACTGGCGTAAGCAGAGCAGCAGGAATCAGGTGAATCTTTGCACTCCTCTCATCCCCTTCAGGAAGTTACACACAGTAAGGACCTCTTTCCACCTCATGAGAAAAGAAATATTAGAGGAATCAGACTCCTGAGAGACTTTCAAATATTAAGTCACTTTTTTTGTTCTACTGTGAAACTATACGGTTTATCAGAATTTTGCCAGTTGAAAGACGGTGAAGCCGATGCTGGTGAGACCCGGCGCAGACACACGAGGCGGCAAATGGTAGATACACAGATGTTCCTCTTGCTGCGGGTTGCCCACGGACTAGGAGATAATGGCTTCCAACACAAAACAGACATTTTTTGAATAAAACAGACAATATTTTAAGTGGATATATTTTCCACAGGAAAGTGTTTTTAGAGTATGCCCCAGAGACCACCTGAACCAGAATCAGGCCAAACACCCAACAGAATAAAAGTGTGCATTCCTGAGCCCAATTGCAGACCCTCCAGGGGCCCTGGGGATCTGAACTGTTCACAAGCCCCCCATGGGAACGCTTAGACACAAATTCAGATTAAAGTCTGAGTATCACTATTCCAGACTATTGGGGGTTTCTTTTGACTCTTTCTTCTGACCACAGATATTTCATTCTCTCTTTCATGCTTCTTACTTACTAGCCAGAAACAAAAACAAAAGCAAAAACATTTCTGATTATTCAGCCTGTGGTGATAACAGTAGTGGTACTTTTTTTCCCCTCAAGAAAATATAGAAGAATAGGCAGCATATGATTCTGCACCTAAATTTTTCAAAGGTACACCACAGTACTTTGTTTTAAAGCTTTCCAAATGTATACATAATGAAAACGTTCAAAATGGTTTGTAAACTGTCCTCAGATTGAGATGATCCAGTGTAAAGAGAACTGCTGTCCGGTGTTATGCCTGAATTCTCCAAAGGCCCTTCGTGGCCTTCTTTCACAAACACCGAGCCTCTTAGCAGGCACTCCAGAGCTCTCACCAGACGATGCAGCACCTGCCAGGCAGCACAAAACTACCCAAGGATTGCTCATAAAAATAGGACAAAGACAACAAAGGTCAGTTTCAACTCCAACCACAAAAGGAGTCTCAAGACCCACTGCCAATACGTAAGATGAATACAAATCATGCTGACTTTCCTCCAGAGAAAGTCTAATTTCAAATATACTTATTAACATCTCCTTGAAATCTAGTTAATATTGAAAATGAAAAGCATGATACACTTCAGTGTGCTAGTGATATCTACTACAGTGTTTACGTCCTATAAGATCCCTATGGATAAAAGCAATTTTACCTGTGAGTAATACGAATGAGAAACCAAAGAGGTAGGTGACTATCATCAGAAGATGACCCTCAAGCAACATGTTGAATAACATACTTGAATCCCAAAAAGGAAGTTTACTGGAAAACGGGTTCTCATACCATGACAATTGCCCAAGAGCAGGGTTTCCCAGGTCCTTCAGGATGTCATCCACCTTCCAAAGTCCTAACTCCTGATATGGTGCCCTGTGCTCTTCAGACATTCAATTTTAAGAAACATCTACTGAAGTGAAATGTAAAGAAATAATACCGGAGACCAAAGAGCAATGCTGACGTCAGCTGGGCTCTTCAAAATCTCTACTTTCACATCAGAGTTGGACAAGACCTTCAAGGTTCAGAGAATCCAACTCTCCGGTTGTACAACTGAAGAAATGAAGGCTCGCTGTCTACTGGTCACAAAGCACTGAAATTCTGAAAAGATACTATACATCCAAAAAGTGTTCCTGGTTAACCTGCCGATTTATAAAGCCCATGGTGTAGCCACGAGGCTACACTTCAGCACTTACGGCCTCAGTCTGAAGCCCCATCCCCCAGGGCTGTTTCACAAAGTGTTCCAGTGGCTGGAGAGAGAAGGGCACCTAAGTAAGGCTCAGGATGCACCTGGGGCGGGGCAGGGGCAGATCGTGAGCAAGAGAAAGGTCATTCCAAATCCCAGACCTGCTGAAAACTTGCTCTAGGCTCGCACCACTGCTTATCTTCACCTCTTTTTAGAGACACGCCTCTGAGGACATTCACAAAGGCCAGCTCTGCTCCGGGCAAGCACTGGGGGTGACAATGCCTTTCTGCCCAGAACACTGAGAAATACAGCTGGACAACTGAAAACATCCAGATCCACAAGGCTAAGACCTATATACAGCTGTATTTAAGTTCTCAATAATTGTCACTCGTTCTGCAAACCAAAAAAGCGCCTTATTTCCTTATAGCCTTATTTAGTCAAGATTTTTAAGTTCCACTTTAAAAAGGTGGTTATGAGTGATTTTTTTTTCTATTTTCCAGACTTTCTGTAATGGCTTCACATTTCTTTTAGTAAAACAACAACAAAAAAAAGAAGCTATTTTCAAAAAAGTTTTAGTCTTTAAAAAAAAAAATGAAAGGATACACATAGTTTCCTCTTGACTATGAAACGTCCAAACCTGAAGGAGGTGTCTGTGTGGTACAGTGTGTGGAACTGCAAAGACCCAGGACTCTAGATTTTTGGATCCCAGGTCTAGAGAACCTTGGGCAGGGCTTAGTCTCTCTGAAACTTGCCTTCTTTATCTGTAAAAAGGCAGAAATAATCCCTCCCTCACAGGACACTGTGAGGATAAAGTGATGCACAGTGCCTGGCACATGGCAGATGTCTAATAAATGGTGCCCCTTCTCCGCACTGGACTCAGAGAATCCTCGAGTAAATGGAATCGTCACAGCCTGCACCAGCCACCCCGTCACTGCATCCCTTTTAAATTTGCAAGAGTGCTGCTATCTCCTTGACTCTGCCCTATTGCTCTAAAGCTATTGTGCTTAGGAAAAAAGTTCTACATTTTTATGTTCTCCCCTTTAAGACTGTATATGCAAATAAAACATTAAAAAAAAAACCCTATCTTCCTAGAAATAATGCGATGTTTCCTAAAGCACATGTCATGAATAAAAACAATTCTGAAAAACATGACTGGATTAGTTTATACATTGTTTCTTAAAGTGCACCAAAGTAAATATTAATGACCTTTAAAATGTCACTAACCCCTATGGGTTACTTTTTAAAATAAAACTAAATATTTATCTACTGAGATGTATGTGGTTTTTGGCTCCAATGTGATGACAAAAAGCAGCAGTGTCTTCCAGAAAAAATAAAAGAATTGATAAACTCAACTAAGCATATTCTTAGCAGCATACAAAATGCCTACAATTCAGTGTAACTGCAGGCTCAATAAAGCACAATCCTGATTCCCACCACAAAAACAAAATCGATCGAAGGAATAGAAAACCATCTCTCCAGCCTAAATCAAGGATTTCTCTTGAACCCTGGAGGTAACACTTGTGATCACATCCCTACTGTGTATCCTTGGTAACAGAATTATAACTAATCACCATTCTGTCTTTACACTGCACACACACATACACACATATACACACACCCTATGAAAAACAATATATTTTAAGTGGAGAAGCCATGAGAAAGGAAATTCGAAGTCAGATAAAGAAGATCCATCACCCCAAATGTCAGGCAGTTCCCACATTCACACCACCGTCCGATGTTCCCCACACACGTAGACAGCACTGGGGCGTATCCGTCGCCTCGTGTGACCAGGGAGCCGCGGCAAAAACTTGAAGGACTTGGGCATCATGTCCAGGCAGGCGTCATGGAATTTCTTAATCCTCCAGTAGTAGATTAGTGGGTTCAATGCAGACTTGAGGTAGCAGAGCCAGAGTAGCCAGGTGCTAATCTCAAAAAAGTTGTGCTGATAGTAAAAGTGCTTGCTGAACGTGGCCACAAGGCTGTAAGTGGTGAACGGGGCCCAGCAGACAATGAAGACAGCAAAGAGAATCAAAATGGTTGTGAAGGCACGCGTTTTAAAGCCCATGTCAATGCTCATCTGGAAGGGTCTCTGTAGACTCATGAGGCCCAGTTTGCTGGCCTGGCTGAGGCATATACCTTCAGGGTAGCTATGGATCCTCAAGGCATTGTGCCGAAGGGTGTTGAGTATGCCCATAAATGAATACAGGATCACCAGGAAGGGGATGAAGAAAGAAATGAGAGAAATCAAAATCACATAAGCTTGGTAACCCGGACTGGTCGTGTACCCAAACACACACTGGGGGGCTCGGGAAGGTATCTGCAGGTCAGGGTTTCCTACTGCCAAAGGAAGAGCTACGCAAAAAGAAGTTGCCCAAGAAACTGCGATGAGAACCTTAGCCCTATACGGATTTAGCTTATCCTGCCTCTGGACTATAATAAGAAACCTGTCAATGCTAATGATGAGCAGGATGGCTACTCCCTCTATCACAAACAACCAGAAAAACATGGCAGATACCCTACAGAAGAATTTGCCGAAAATCCATCTGGTAGTGAGAATAGTGACCAAGGCAAAGGGCATGTTCAGCACTGCAAGCAACATGTCTGCAAAAGCCAGGCTGGCCAGGAGGATGTTAATGGCAGATCGCATGGCCGCTTTTTGGTAAACCATGAGGCAAACAACCAAGTTCCCAAGAAAAGACACAAACAGAATAAATATCATTATAGCAGAAAGGATGATTTGCAGAGGCAAGTTTAGGCCCTTAAAAACTGCTGGTGTTGGGGGCACGGCTGTGCTATTCACTGTCAACGAACTCATCCCAGTGGGAGCTATGGTTCCAAGACTGTATCTAAGCAGTGGACCAATGCCGGGATGCTGGAAGGGTGGAGGGACCGTAATATTCATGTAGGTGTTTTCATAAACTACGAACGTTGTGTTGGATGCTCCCGTATGGGAAGCAGTCAACACTGCAGAGAAGACCATGGTTTCAGCAGGATGGAGGGCACCGGCGGAGAGGTGATGTTCTTCAAGCACTTCAACACAGAGCAGCAGTATCAAGTTTCCTTGATGGGCTTGGAAACACACTCCGGAAAACGGACCAAGAGTTCCACCTTCCACAGGAGTCTTTTTGCCTGAAAACAAGCCCAAAACACACACACACACACACAAATGGGAAATGAGCTTTGTAAGTAACATTTGACTCCTTACCTTTCATCAGGAAGGACCAGTGTTGCTTTCTTTTTGACTGTTTAAAAAAAATATATATATATATATATTTGATTGAAGTATAGTCAGTTTACAATGTTGTGCCAGTTTCTGGTGTACGGCATAATGTTTCCGTCATACATATACATACAGAGATTCCTTTTTGTATTCTTTTTCATTATAGGTTACTACAAGATATGGAATATAGTTCCCTGTGCTATACAGTAGAAACTTGTTGTTTATCTATTTTATATATAGTTCTCTAGTCTAGTCAGCACTAAAATATTGTTGTTTTTATTTTTAGTCAACCAGAGTGGAACTTTCATGACACTCATATATAAAGTGAAAGGGAAAAGAATCAAAATGTATTACTGTCTCAATGGCAAAAAGTATAACTTTACAGTCAATTTTTCTTTAAATTTCCAGAAGCAGCATAGCCTTTCCAAATAGTCGCTATTAATACAGATTTTATGATCTAGTTCTCCTGAGAGTGCTAGCGCTTTTCTTGATAGCTCTCTGGTACAGGTTCGTATTCCATTTTTACATTAGCACAGAACTAGTTGGCAAAGAACCCTGAAATCAGTTTCCTATTTAACACATGATAATCACACACTTTTGCTTTAACACTTTCACAAGTAGGCACTAGGTTATCTTCAATGAAGGATCTGAAAGTTCCAAGGCTTTCTATTTTTTTTTTTTCTAAGTGTTTCTTCCCATAAATCCCAACACAACTCTATTGGAGAAGTTATTCAAGAAGAGTAGAAAATTTATCTGCAAAACGTCTTGGTCACATTTTCAAGACTTCTTTTCCTTTTCTGAAGTTTCTTGGCTTCTCATATTCTCTCTTCTTTGCCATGCCCACCCATTTCCATCCTTTATTTTCTGACACAAATACTTCTATCTCCTCAATTGCTTCCAAGACTGACCTTACTGTATGTCAGCAACTTGGTAGAAGATGTCAACCAAGTAAGAAAAATGGGGATTCTAAAGACAATGACTAGAAAGATATTCAGGTATGGAAAATGAGTTCTAGAAAACTTATAAAGATATTTAGTTATCTTGCTCCAAAAAGTTTGTTATCATCTTTCTCTTATCCTTACTCCGAACTTCTTAATTTCTGAAACCCTTGAGTTTTCTGTAGGGAACTTTTTTTTTTTTTAAGGAACTTTCTTAATCTACTATCTTACTATCCCACTTTTCTGATGTGGTTTCTACCTTCTTTACTAGAAAGGTAACTTTAATCTCTTTCATTGGAAAGAACACCCTTTGGATTTCCCGGTAGATTCCTTTAATAATACAAAAGATTGGGGGGGGGGGAATTGCAGACATTTAAGACAATGCTGCAATTTTCTCATTATCTGAACTTATAATTAGTCACCGATTTTAGGGGTAAATGCCAAAAGTTTATTTACTCATTTCCTGTCGTATAGAGGGTAGAAGGATCCCATTCATGAGACCCAGGATCCAGCACTGAAGCCAAACCATGGGCTCTCTACCATACTCAGATCCCTCTACAGTCCCCAGTGCTGTCCAGGGCTGGCTTTAGGAATAAGGAGAATACTCGTCTGTTTGTTCAAAATAGTAGTTTTGCCATGTACTTTCACTTTTATGACTTAATTTCTTTGTCCCTGCTAGATATTATCCATCCTCACATATTCACTTTGAAATGCAAAACTTAACTGAATAAGCTGCCCTACTAATGCCCAGTGGCTCTCAAATTTTATTTACCCAAAGGGCCAGTGGGGAAAGGGGCACTGGGAGCTTTACACCATAATCACCATAAGTCTCTTTATAACTACCTACATATACATACAAAAAGAATAAAGACTGTGTTCACTACATAAATCAGTCTCAATACCATGCTATTTCTAGAGAAAAATTATAAATGTATAGCTTAAGCCTGAGGTCACAGTTGTAACTGTGGTTGATCAAGTAAACAAACATATCCATCCTGAAGCAGTACACACTTCTAAACACTTAGTTTCCTTGATTGTGTTGAGGAACAAAAACAAAGGCTGGAATGGAACCATAATTTAAAAGATGCTTTTTAGGTTGATATATGTACGTATGTAGTCATAACATTTTTCTGCCATTACCATAAAAATCTCTAACTCAATTCATTCAATTACTCATTCATCAAACCTTTATTTAGCAGGACATACCAACCATAGACCCTGAATCTCAAAATTACACTGAAATGACAGTAATGTAAAGATTTTTTAAATAAAGTGTACAACTCCAAAGGACAAGAAGTATGAAAAATACGTCATTAGATAAGAGGGTTTTTTTTAATGTTTTAAGGAAAAAGGCAGATGGTGGAGTGGTAACTGAACAGAGCAGAACAGTGTCACCACCAAGGACCTAAAGGATGATGGTGATTATCCCTAACACACCTGCAGAAAACAGATAGATCATGCGCAGTGCAGATGCTGTACCAGCGGTGATTTCATTTATGGAGTAGATCAGCACATTCCCTGGTAAATAGCTATTAATTGGGGAAATTATTATTTTTTTTCCTTATATGTGTTAGCAAAGTACACCTGGGCAGTCTGGCTCCAGTTGGCACCCCACTATCCAACCTCAGGGCTCTATCAGCTCTCCAGCACCCTCTCACAACACAGCCCACAGGGACGTTGACTGCCTCTCCGTTCCACAGAACGGCATGCTTTCCATGATATGCTGACTGAGCAGTATGCAGTTACTACTCTATACTTGGTAAAACCAGGTGTCCCAAAGGGCAGGGTAAGATTATTCCAAAAATTCAAAGGCCTGCCATCTTTGTAATTTTCTGGGGATCTTGTAGCATGTCAAGATAGCTCTTCCAAGGTGACAGTGGGCTCTTCCTTCCACTAAAATATAGGCACAGCACTTAGTAGGCTCTTTTGGACTTGGAAGGCATCGTATACTTATTTGGGTATGTTATTCTGACCCATTTATCTTGCAGAGCTGCCAGGTTTGAGTGGGACATTTAATAAGAGAAGATTCAGCAACAGGTCCAGAGTGCCATGACAGCTGCTCCACCACTTGGGCTACATAGCCTGACAGATTCACTGGTGTTTTAAGTGTCCGTGGCAGACAGGCATTCTGCATGGCATGGGGTGGGCCCCCTATCGGTGAATTACAACCTTTATAGGTGAACAGAGACCTTTAGGATTTTGGAACAAAGCCACACGGCATAAGCATTCCACATGAACTTAGTGTTGTCTGACCTGAAGCCATGAAGTCTGGTGTGCACAGAGCTCTTCACCTTAAACAGAAGTGGTATATGTGAAGTCACATCTCATGGGTGCTGTGGGCATAGTTAGGTAATATAAGCAAATGGCTCATATTCCCATAGCTCTTATTCTTGCTACATTGATCCTCTCTTCAAACTTCTCCTGTGGCCTCATCAAGAGGAGTTCCTTATGACCAGTTAATTAAAGAAGAAAAATTGAGGTGTGACTTAGAAATGGTTCTATACAGCATGTTGGTGCCACCCAAGGGTGAAGAGCTGTAACACTACAGCCCCACTCAGGAGCCCTTAAGGACATGGCAAAGGGAAAACCTCCCAGTGGGCAAAACTTTGAACGGTATACAGGAACCCCTTGGAATCCCCAGGGGATTGGTTCCAGGGCCTCCATGGATATCAAAATCCAAGATGCTCAGTCCTTTATATAAAATGGTGTAGTATTTGCATATAACCTACACACATCCTCTTGTATACTTTAAATCATCTCTAGATTACTGATAACATGTAGCAGAATGAAAATACTAAGTAAGTGTTTGCTGGTGTATAGCAAACTCGAGTTTTGCTTTCTGGAACATCCTGGGTTTTTTTTCAAACATCTTCGATCGGTGGTTGGTTGTAGCTGCAGAAGCAGAACCCGTCAATATGGAGGGCTGACTGTACCCGGTTGTTCCATTTTGAAGGAAACATGTCAGAGGTACAGATCTATACTTATCCATGGACAGTAGCTAATGATCTGGCCAGCTGGCCATGTAAATACTCACCAGATAGCAACTTGAAAACTAAGGAGCTAAACAATCTGGTAGACAAGATGACACATTCTACAGAAGTTAACCAACTTCTTTTTCTACTCTTGTTCTTCCCCAAAGGGATTATGAACAAAGTAACCATAGAAGTAGAGCTGGAGATTGTGCATGGGTTCAGCAACATGGGATTTTCAATTACCAAAACCAATCTGGCTACAGCCACTGAGTACTCAACTGAGAACACAGAGACCAAAATTGGACTTATTGAATATGGCATCATTCCCTGGGGCACTGGCCAGCCATCTGGTAGCAGGTCGATTACATGGACTACTTCCATCATGGAAGACTTTGTTCTTATTGGAATATACTCATATCCTGGATAATTTTATCAAATTCAACTGTCAATCACAAGATCAGTATGTTTAGCATATATACTTCCTTTCTTTCACAGAATATCCTATATGTGTCAGAGAAAATGAATCAGAAAGCTAAAAATTTCTACCTATGTAGTTATACTTTTGGAATAAAAGCAGTGGAAATTCAAAGCTGAAACAATTAGAGTTTTGTTTTTTAAGTACTTAGAAGCATATCAAGATATTTACTCAGTACTCAAAAAGAGAATTTCTATTCTTAAAGAGAGTAACTTAGTGTCTCCTGAGTTTTGCTAAAAAGGGTAATGTCAAAGAATGTCTTAAGCTTTTTTAATATAAGCTTTCTAAAAAATTCCACAGCAACTCTGCAAGATTATTATTACTATAATCCCCATTTTAAGTATGAGGAAGCTGAACAATTATATGCCACCAGACTAGATAATTTAGAAGAAATGGGTAAATTCCTAGAAACATACAATTTACCAAGACTTAATGATTTAACACAGTACCAGAAATTCTGAAAAGACGAATAATGAGGAGGGAGATTGAATCAGTAATTTAAAATGTCCCAACCAGTACCAGAT